TGCGCAAATTTATTGCTTAGTCTCACTCATGATTTGATCAATCCTTCACTTGATGATGTTCAACTTCACTTATTAGTTGCTTCATTAGTGATGTAGAAGTGTTTTGTCTAGTATCACTCATGTATTTTTTCAACCCTTCACTTGGTTATGATCTGATTCACTCTTGGTTGCTTCACCGAGCATATGCAGGCGCCTTGTTTAGTCTCACGCATGCACTTTGCCAATCCTTCACTTGGTGATGTTCCGCTTCACCCTTAATTGCTCCACTAGTCATGTGCAAATGTTTTGTCTAAGTTTCACACTTCTGTTTTGTAAGTCTCTCACTCGGTGATGTTCGGCCTCAATCTTAAATGCCCTTACTTGTCATATGTATGTGGTAAGACTGCGTACTTGTAACATTTCGCCCCCTTATGCTCTATTTGAGCAAAACATTTTTCCTTCCCGTAACAAGTGTCGAGAATCGTGTCTCCCACGGGCCGAAGTTCAGGTTACCTACCCCCCTCGTGCTCTATTTGAAAACCCTCTAATCCAACTCTAGACTAATTGGACCGTGTTTCTTCTCATCAAAAAGTCGGCAGAGCAACCGGAAAGAAGAAGTAGGTAGAAGGTGGCGGCTCCTACTACTGCTGCTGCTGCTAAAAGTGGTGGAACTGCTGCTGCTGTTGTTGCCTGGTCAGAAACTTGGTTGTCGCTGCTATTGGAAACCGTTGTCCAGCCCCCGACCAAAGCCCGGTTCGAAACGACCAACTGTCCGGTGCGACTGGGGTGTCGAAAGTCAACCCCGCCAAGCGAAGGGGTATGGGGGCTGAGATTTGAAAGGTCCCATGTCCTAGGTATAGGTAGATGTTCTGCAAAATCCCCAAGCCATCTGAATCCATTTTTTCACAAAAACGAGAGAGTAGAATTGTTCCCTTAGAGCCTCGGGCGACACCCGAAAGAGACAAGTATGGGCGAACAACGACGAAATAAAGCCCAACTTTAGGAGGGTCATCAGTACGCTATGTACAAAGGAACTGTGACGTTATGGACCTATCTGAGATCGTTCGGATCAGCAAACACAAATATGAGTTTTTCGGCTACCTCTCCCTAGAAAAATCAACGAAACAGAAATAAGAGAAACCTGAGTTTTTCGGTAATTTGAGTTTTTCACAACTCTGAGTTTTTGCAAAATTTGAGTTTCTGCTATAGTTCTGAAATTCGGAAGTCTGAGTTTTTAAAGGGTTCGAACGTTGGGACGACACTAGAAGGACGAGACCAAAACTTAGAAAGTGTCGTAGCCAACCACCTCACACCTTCTTCCTCGTCCACCTTCACCCATCCGCCATAGCCAACCACCTCACACCCTCTTCCTCCTTCAACTCCTTCACCAATCCACCATAGCTGCCCACCTGACACCTTCTTCATCCTCCATCTCCTTCACCCATCCGCCATAGACAACCACCTGACACCTTCTTCCTCTACCTCCTTCACCCATTCACCATGGCCGCTCACCTCCCACCTTCTTCCTCCTCCACCTCCTTTACCCATCCACCATAGCCGCCCCCCTCACACCTTCTTCATCCTCCACCACAATCACACATCCACCATAGCCAACAACCGAACACCTTTTTCCTCCTCCACCTCGTTCACCCATCCACCATAGCCGCCCACCTCCCACCTTCTTCCTCCACCTTCTTTGCCCATCCACCATAGCAGACCACCTTACACCTTCTTCCTCCTCCACCTCCTTCAGCGATAACCAACCACCTCACACCCTGTTCCTCCTCCACCTCCTTCACCCATCCACCATAGCCGCCAACCTCACACCTTCCTCCTCCACCTTCTTTGCCAATCCACCATAGCCAACCACCTCACACCTTCTTCCTCCACCTCCTTTTCCCATCCACCATAGCCGCCTACCTCACACCTTCCTCCTCCACCAGCATCACCCATTGTTGCATACTCGTGAATACTTCAACAAGTATGGGCAGAACCAAAGATCAACCAATATAGGATTAGCATGTATGCAGCGGAAGTCTGATAAATGGACTGACTCACATAGACTAAACTCATACAGAGATCACTCAACACACAAGCACTCGTGAGATGGTGGGGTCTGAGCCAATCATAGACGATGCTCAGGCCCCGTACAACCATGCACATATGAAAGGTGGGAGGAGAGACGAAGGAGGTGGGAGATGTGGGCAGCGCCAGATGTCACCGAGATAGAATCCAGTAGGTCACCGATATGGTAGTCCAAAATGTCATCCAACAAGATCAAAATGTCGTGGACACAAAGTCACCAATGTCGGAGGTACAGAGTCCTAATGTCACCGGTGTCCAATCTGTGATGCCGCCGAGTATCAATCCCAACAATCTCCAGGTCTCGAATCCGGTAAGTATCACAACCTCTTACTACCGAAGTCCAACATTGATCTTCGTCTAACTCGTATCAAGTCTCCAATCTGAAGAAGAAGAGGAAGAAGTCTGAAGGAGAAGAAGAAGTATGAAGAAGAAGATGGAGATGGAGAAGTGGAAGATGGAGATAGCGGAGGAGGGAGAGATGGCGAGGTAGGGAGGAGGAGAATCCTTTACCTGCAGGATGCAAGATGGCGCCTTGAGCCTTCGGCAGTCGAAGCCCGCTGAAGCTATGGCGCCAGAGGTAAGTCCCAGGTAAGTATCTCACTCCCTCTCCATCCCGAACTGCAGCCTAGCGCTAACTAGCGTTGCTGCTCCTGGTGCTGCGCTAACTGAAAATAGCGCAGCGCTGCCTCTCGCTGCTCCCTTGTTCCAACCTGCAGGAATGGCCGCTGGACCGGCCTAAGTATCGTCCGGCGGCCGGTCGGCCTCAATGCTGGCCTTCTGCGCCGTGGGCTGAACCGTCGAAAATAGCCGTTCAGCCCAGACCGGCGGGCGGCGGCCTAAAGAGCGCCGCCCGACCCAAACGGTTCGTCGTTTGGGCCAGACCTGGGTCGGTCATACCGAGGCCCAACCAGTGGCCTAATAGGGCCTACCGGTAGGAAAAAGGCCTGGCCTTTGGCTAGGCCGGCCTGGGTCCCCCTGAACCGGTGTGTCGGGCCTGTGGAGGCCCGTGTGAAGTCGCAGACTGTAACACACTCCCCCCCTTAAAAGACCGAGCTACCTACGAGGGCGAAGTTGTCTGTCCGATACCTGGGTGGGCCGGGTGGGACAAACTTTTTCCTTGGCAAGTCTCCGGTTCTCGTAATCGGAGAAGATAAGTGGTGCAGATGCCTGTAAGAGTGTGCGGGAGATCCAACGAGTGTCATCAGGGTCACATTGCTTGAAAGTGACTTGGTACTGCACTGGCTTGTTGCCAAACTTGCAGTGCCTGATGACACGGTCAACTTCCTGATGGTCGTCCATAGAGGGCGGATCCTGTGATCGTCTGCCCGGGAACTCATCTGCGGATGGTGGCATGTAGATGGCCAGCTTCGACGCATGAAAGACCGGATGCACACGGAGGTGCGGTGGAATGGCAATCGCAAAGGAAGGACCTGTAGGGTCGTCGCCTGCTGCAAAAATTATCATCCATGGTCCAAACCATTTCGGGAGGAGTTTGCACGAGACGTCCTGCTCGAGCGCGAATTCCTCAGCGAGGACCCAAACAAGGTCTCCCTCGCGGAAAGGACATGCGAGTCGACGTCGGTTAGCTTGCTGCTGCATGCAGACTTGAGCCTTTTGCATGTTTGCATGGGCTTTGATCAACACGTCCCGATACTTTGGACGGAAGCGGGAGAGCAAGCGACGTCTATGTCGGCGGCCCGTGGTAGAAGAAGATCGGCAAAGAATCGGGCTTTCTCTCCACCGTGATGCAACTCGAATGGAGTGATGCAGATCGCCGGGTGCACCGAAGTGTTATAGGCGAATTCGATGTCGGGAAGCCGGTCAACCCAATCTTTCTGGTCGGGACGGATGAGTGTACGTAACATCATTTGAGTGGTTTGATGCGCTCGTTCCAACTGTCCATCCGTCTGGGGGTGCCGTGCAGAACTCGGCTTCATAGTCGAACTGGACTCCGTCATGAGGGAAGTCCAAAATGCAGACATGAAGCGAGTGTCTCTGTCACTCACAATATCTTCCGAAACACCATGGGCGGTAATCCAGCCGGTGTGCAAGAGTCGAGCGAGCTCGGGGGCTGTAGCACACTACTTGCATGGAAGAAAACGAGCGTACTTGCTCAAAGGGTCAACGACCGTGAGAATGTCGTCATGGCCGAGGCGATCACGGGAGAACGGGCCTGTAACATCCATAGCAATGGAGAGGCGAGGTGCCCGAGGAATCGGCATCGGTTTCAGTTCGCCATAAGGGACCGTAGACCAACCTTTGTTACGATGGCAAACTGCGCATGACTCAATGTACCTCGTGACGTCGTGAAGAACGTCGGGCCAGTGAAAACGCTCGCGGAGGTGAGCCAATGTGCGGTTCACGCCAAGATGTGTCGAAACTCGTGCGTCGTGGAATTCGCCGAGAAGACGAGTCCGTAAGATGCGATCTTGGGGCACCACTAACAAGTCCTTCCCTCTCGTGTGAAGGAGTAGGAAACCGTCGGAGATACGATAGTGACCAGCCGGCGGGTGATCCAATGATAGGTCCGCATAGAGCGTAGAATACGTCGGATCGGACTTGTAGCCGTTGATGAAATGCTGTTGCAGATCGTCGTCGAGGTCGAACGTCGTGGTCACAAGGGCACAAAGATCGGGCCATCGTGAGAGGGCGTCCGCTGCTTGATTGGCGGGACCGGGAATGTGGCACGACTCAAAGTCGAACTGGTCGGTGTAATACATCCATCGACCGATCGTGCTAGTGACCGTGTCCTGCGTTTTGTAGAAGGTCAACGGATTCTTGTCCGTGTTTCATCTAAAACGCCGACGACCGAGAAGAAAGTGGCACCACTGTTTGCGAACGGTGACGAACGCGAGTAGCTCTTTCTTCCTAGCGTCGTCAAGAGTGTTGATGGGAGACACTTTTTGGGAGAAGTACTCGACCGGGTGCCAACCATCCGAGTGGCATTGTTCCAATACCGCACAAATACCGTACCTGAAAGCATCCATAGTCACTTGGGTGGGTAGGGTGGGATCATAGATACAGAGCCGGTGCGTCTTGCATCGCCGCCTTCAACGTATTGAGCGCGCCAGGAGCTGCGTCGTCGAACTCGAATGGTACCTTCGGGGACTGAAGTCTCGACAAAGGAGTTGCCACTTTGGAGTAAGACTCGACAAAGCGTTGATAATATCCAGCCAAACCCATGAAAGAGCGTACGTCCGTCGTGCAACAGGGTTCCGGCCAATCCACGATGGCTTGGATCTTGTCCGCTAAGGGACGAATGTCTTTCGGCGTCACAAAATGGCCCAAGTACTCAAGCTCTTGCTTGGCGAATTTGCACTTGTCACGGTTCGCTTTGTACTTGGCGGCTCGCAAACGATCCAACACCACACGAAGGTGTACGAGGTGCTCGTTGAGCGTCCTGCTATAGACCAAGATATCATCGAGGTTGATGAGGACGGAACGATCGAGCAAGTCTCGGAACTCCGTTGCCATGGCTGCTTGGAAAGTTGTCGGGGCATTGGTGAGTCCAAATGGCATCATGAACCACTCAAAATGCCCATACCGCATTTTGAAGGCGGTCTTGTACCGATCTTGAGGCTGGATTTCAATCTGGTGGTAACCCGACTTCAAGTCCAACTTCGAGAAGTACGTCGCACCGCCCAAACGCTCGAGGAGATCATCAATCCGAGGGAGAGGACCGACGTTCTTAACGGTTTGCGCGTTAAGTTTTCGATAGTCAATGCACAACCGTAGGTCCTTGTTCTTCTTCCGGACGAAGAGAACTGGCGCACGGTATGACGAACAACTACGGCGAATCCAGCCCTTGTCGAGAAGGTCATCGAGTTGTGCGCGAAGCACCTCGAGTTCCTCTTCGCTCATGTGATAGATGCATTCACGCGGAGGGACGACACCAGCCTCGAGAGTGATCCCGTGACGTATGGGCCGATCCGGAACCGTTCCGGTGCCTCGAAATCGTCTCCATACCCGTCCAATAGGTGAGTAATGCGTGGGTCCGGCAGTGACGCGGCTTGTCCGTCCGGCGAGGGGAGGGCATGTAAGAAAATAAGGCCCATCTTCTCGACGTTATTCCGAGCTATGGCATCGCGAATCCTCGCAACGGAAACCACATGACAAGCAATCGAAGTGTGAGGGGTCGCGACCGTACATGGGACTAACACTCCGTTCTTATCACGGACGTGAACGGTTCGGTAATGAAAGTTCACCAGATGATCAGCGCTATGCAACCAAGACATGCCTAGAATCATGTCAAACTTGGTGTCGAGGATGTCGAAAGACACCGGCTCGCACGCAAGGGGCGCAAAGTATACTGGGACGCCGTCAATGCATCGGTCAATCGACTTTTGCGTGCGGCCGTCCGCGAGTGTCACTTGCGTAGGTTGCGTCTTCCTTCGAACGCGCGGGCCAAGGCCTGCGCGAGCCATAAAGGTTTGGCTCATGAAATTACGAGATGCTCTGCAATCAATCAAGGCACTGCAAGTTGCCTTTCCGATTTGAATGCGGATATAGAGCAAAGGCGCGTCGGTCTCAGCGTACCTTTGGGTGGCATACTCGCGGTCAATCTTCGCAAGATAGGAGCGGAGATCGACAACGGAGCTGGTATTGCAACGTGCAAATAGGAGCGTAGATTTGCCATCAAGGCGTTACAATGCGGCCTTGGCAAGGTTCCGGTTGAGGGTAGAGGCATCCAAGCGAAGTCCTCTCTCGTGAGTGGGTCAAGCTCTTGACCACGCCGTCGAGTCATCGGAAATCAGTGGCGAACTGACCTGTTCACTTGCCGACGGTGTACAGGCTGCACATACACTATCTAAGTGCACGTGGCTAGGCTGCTCTAATGGTGGTACCAGCTGGGCGGCATTATCCTCGTACGTAGCACGGGAATCAGCGACTAACACATGCTCCCCGGTAGTGATATCGGTTGCTAGCAAGGCAACCGGTTCCGGCGGAGTGAGGAGAGGCGTCGCCCCTCTCCTTGCATAACTCAGTTTCCCGAGTTAGCTGGACGGGGTACCCGTGCCTTGCCCTTGTCCGAGCATTGTGCGGTAGTGTGGGTTACGCTATTGCACCATAGGCAATATCCGTACCGTTGACGCAGGTCAAATACCTCCTTGGTTATGTTGTATGCCGTCCATGGTTGCTGCCCAGTTCCCGTCGATGTTGTCGCTTGTGTCGCCTTGTTCTCCCGAACTCTCTTGGGACGCTTCAACGGGAGCGCTGCGACAACTCCTCCATCACTCGAGGATGCTGCTGCAGCGTGGAGATCGACTGATTCGTCAGAAATCACGACATTGTTATGTGTCGGTCGTTGATAGCCCTGCTTAGCCACATAGTGCGGCCGGGACTGCCGTTCGTTAGCGGCCTTGTCATCCGTTTGGATGACCAGGTTCGCACGATCCAAAATACCCTGGAATGAGGCATAGTCGTACTCGTTGCCGAGTGCCGACCGCAGTCCTGTGCACGATCGCGAAAAGAATTCGGATCGTTGGTTTGGAAAACTCAAGTCGAAGCCTGGAGTGGTTACTATCTTCTGCCACTTGATCGTCCAGTCTCGAGTTGGCATGYTTCCTTGTGAGCTGGTGTAGACCTCGTTCATGGCCGCCTTTATGACGTTGCGGACCATGATTCGAGTGAACCACAGTTGCTCAAACTCCTTCCACGGAATGTGAGTGTGGAGTTCGGCGATGGTGCATTTCTAAGTAGCCGCGAGATGGTTCATCCATGCCTGAGCTCCTCCAATAAGTTGGACGTAGAGCGCTTTCATCATGTCTTCGGCCGGTACAGTGCGGCAGGATGCTTCGGTGAGGAAGCTTTGCCACCATGTCAAGGTGTCCGTCTTGTTGTAGTCGTCAAACTTGCTGATGTTGAAGTGCGGCATCTTGTATGTCTTTGTAGCGGCGTCCGGTCTTGTTTGCAGTTTGGTGATGTCCATCTTGATGGCGGCCACCGTGCTGCTGATCATGGCCGGACTAGTGAAATCACCTAGTTCGTCGATAATAGTGACGACATGGTCGATGCGCTCCTCGAGCTGCTTCGCCGTATCGGTCGTGCAGCCTGGCGCTGTTGAGGCCTTAGCCTCGATGCTGTTGACGCGTGTGGTGGTGGTGTTCAACAACTGTTGCTGTTGTTGCTGATGTGTGGCGGCAGCGCGAACAACGACTGTTAAGGCTGCAGCATCTTTCTGTTGAGTCTGTCGCAACTGTCTGCCCTCGTGTATCTGCACAGTTAACATCGTATTATTCCACATCACCGCCCACATCACGTTCAGCATCAGGTTAGCCAGGTTACTCCTTTCTGCCTCCGTTGGTGTCGGTTCCGCCTGTTCGTCCGAAGGCTAAAAGAACATGCCTTGGAGTAGTGTCGTCCAGTGACTCTCGTTCTGAGTCAAGGATTCCATGCTGATGGCGTTCCGCTTGTCTCAAACCATCACGTCAGCCTCAGCAGTTCGCTGAGCTTGGGCTGCCGCCTCATTGGCCAACCGCTGTCGTTCTGCCTCTGCTGCCTCCTGCTGTGCCTTAACGGTAGTGACGACATTCGTAAATGCATGTACACGCTGAAGGTAATCAGACGACAGCTCGTGGGCCCCTTGGACCGGGCATGCGGGAAGAGCCCCGGTGGTAACTGGTACTGCAGTTGTTGTACTCGATGTCGCTGGAGTCGTCCGCCAACTTGCTTTTACTTAGTTCGTGGAGGTACCCCAGAGTGGCTACGAACTGCAAGCCTGGCACTACGTCGTGGCAGTGCCCCGGTGTCTTGTTCTGTCGACATCACCAGAAGCTGATGTGGTACTTGAGAAGTCCCGGTGGTCACAGATTACGGGGAGGGTAGGGAGGGTGGGAACAAGGGTAGAACAGATCAAGCAATTCTCATACAGTCCATGTCCCAATTGTGGACTAGACACCTAATCAAAAAGAAAAAGATGAACTTTCCCCCAAAACAACTTAAAAATTCGTAATAAGAAATAATAACGAATTAATAATCAATAAAATTAAATTAATGATAAATAACAAATTAATAATCTCTTAATAATAATCAAAATAAATAAATAAAATTAATCAATAATTGCAATAACGATAACTAACGAATTTTAAATTGTGAAAAGATTAGGTATCCGTTGAGATCACCTATGGTCCGGGAGTTCACCGTTTATTATTGAACTACCTCGAAGTTGCAGCTTTGAGGGAACGATTCTGAACAGTTTGCCAATTTTTTTTTCGGATAGTCAAGAAGAAAAACACTCGAATTTTTGAAAAACATAAAATTTCGGGCATTTCGACCTACAAAAGTCCGATTTTCAAAGGCTTGAGTCCATATTCGGAATTTTTCAAATTAGGGAAAGAAAAAAAAAAATCGCGAAAATTTTCGGATTCCAACCCTAATTTCCGCGATTACGCGGAATTTCCGGTTTTACCGTTCCAAAACATTCGAATTTCCCAATTTGAACGAAAAACCGAAATTTTATCGTAACCCTAATTTCCAATACCGAAATAAAACAAAATACCGATTTAAAAACCGAAATACCAGACTAAAAACAGAATGCCGAATTAAAACAGAATACCGAATTAAAATCAGAATGTCGAATTAAAACTGAATATTGATTTAAACAGCATAACGAATTAGAATCAGAATACCGAATTAAAACAGAATATCGGATTAAGCAGAATACCAATTAAATGGAATACCGAATTAAACAGAATACCGGATTAAAACAGAATCCTGAATTGAAAGTCAGAATACCGAATTGAAACGGAATGCCGAATTAAAAACAGAATACCGAAAAAAAATTGCAACTTTGAATCTCGATAGTGATGCAGAATTGATTTGGAAGTTCGAATAAGCAATCTATTCCCTAATCAGACTTACCTTGTGAGCAGATCCATTGTTTGGTCTGCTCCGATACCAAAACTGTTGCATACTCGTGAATACTTCAACAAGTATGGGCAGAACCAAAGATCAACCAATATAGGATGAGCATGCATGCAGCGGAAGTCTGATAAATGGACTGACTCACATAGACTGGACTCATACAGATATCACTCAACACACAAGTAATCGTGAGATGGTGGGGTCTGAGCCAATCATAGATGATGCTCAGGCCCCGTACAACCATGCACAAATGAAAGGTGGGAGGAGAGACGAAGGAGGTGGGAGATGTAGGCAGCGCCAGATGTCACCGTGATAGAATCCAGTAGGTCACCGATATGGTAGTCCAAAATGTCATCGAACAAGATCAAAATGTCGTGGACAATAAGTCACCAATGTCGGAGGTACAGAGTCCTAATGTCACCGGTGTCCAATCTGTGATGCCGCCGAGTATCAATCCCAACAATCTCCAAGTCTCCAATCCGGTAAGTATCACAACCTCTTACCACCGAAGTCCAACACTAATTTCTGTCCAACTCGTATCAAGTCTCCAATCTGAAGAAGAAGAGGAAGAAGTCTGAAGGAGAAGAAGAAGTCTGAAGAAGAAGATGGAGATGGAGAAGTGGAAGATGGAGATAGCGGAGGAGG